GCCTACCACTTTCTCCCGCAAAGAATTGGAACTGCTAGAATTTTGCATCGTATTATGGACCAACACTAGCTTCAAAGCCATAATATTTGGGACATGAACCCCGAACGGGTTAAACAAATGTTTACAAATAGTTGAATTATGCATATAGGAAAGGCAAATAATTGATGCCCCTATAAACTACATTCTTACATCATACATAAAAATGCCCCTAGCTATACTTTCAACTAACCTAAATGAAATGAAGCAAGATGGCGACCTGTGGCAAATGCGTGAGATATAGCATGTGACCATATACACCAAGCACTGAGGATCTTGCGTTAGACACCTGAACCAGACATGTCCACTAACTGTTGGTACGAAAACATTGACGTACATTGTAAGTACCCAGAACATCTGCATTACTGTATTTAGAAATTAGATAGTAGGTCGCAAAAAAGTTCATTTTTCAATCAGGAAATTCATATACTATATAAAATGTTTGAGGCTGCTATGGCAGTTACAACAGCAATAACTTAAGAGAAAGTAATGATGAAGTGAGTGCATTAAATTTCAAGGAAAAAAACAGTTTTTTCAAGAATTTTTAATCTGAAAACTAAAAAAAAAAACTTGAATAATACGTAACACTCTATTACAGTGGATGGAAGATTTTTTATTAATTAATTAAAAAAAAAAAGCACTGATAAAAGAAGGATGATTATTTTTATCTTTCTTTTTCAACACACCAGCCCATCTCCCACCAAGGCAAGGTGACCCAAAAAAAAAAAAAAAAACGCTTTCCAACCATCATTCACAAATAATCACCTGTCTTTGCAGTGTGCCCAGATAATGACAGTTAAGATTTCACTTACTCCTTGATTAATATTATTTTAATAATTACTTGGAGGTGTTAGGCTATAAAGGTTATCAAACACTGCACTAACAAAGATAAAACGTTTAGAAACAAGAAAACAAATAATTGATTATGGAAATAAGAAATATGAGCTATGATACATTGTATTAAGACATTAAATTTGTCTTATTGGAAAACAGATATGTACTGTAATTACAAGAATCAACTTCGCTCATATGAATATGAAAAGCACAGGAAATCATTTGAGCCAGACACAGAGACAGAGAGAGATAGAAAAGAGAGAAAAGAGAGAAAAGAGAGAAGAGAGAGCAGAGTAGAGAAGAGAGTGGAAGAGAGAGAAGAGAGAGAAGAGTAGAGAAGAGAGAAAGAAGAGAAGAGAGAGAAAGAGAGAAAGAGAGGAAAGAAGAGAAAGAGAGAAGAGGAGAGAAGAAGAGAAGAGAAAGTGAGAGAAAAGAGAGAAAGTGAGAGAAAGATAAAGAGAAAGAGAAAAGAAAGAGAGAGAGAAGAGAAAGAGAAGAAAGAGAGAAAGAATTTTGTTGGCAGCCAGGATTGAAAATTTCAGAACATTTAAGAAATCCATAATCTTGCGGAATATGTGGATACCAAGCCGGTAGCTACAGGAGAAAGGTTTCAGAAGTCCTACCTCAGGGAATCCTGTCCCAAAGATCAAGACTGCCCTCATGGGCTGAGTTGGTAAAGTTGCAGCTAAGATAATCCATCACAGTAAGGCACTTCATGAGCTCCGCAAAACATTAGATAACCTACAAGCAATTGTAGAAAGGCCAGTGCAAGCCCTGCATCAAGTGACGTAAGCTGCTCAGCTTATGGTGACCACTATTGACAAGACTGAAAGTCCCACACGAGCTTAAACTCAGGGGTCAAACACCTGGTGAATTCTTGTCAATGCTAAGGTCCCACAGACTGACAGAGTTCAAAACACTACCTTTGGGAAATCTAAACACATTCCTCTACCACCACAGAGGAACAAATCCTCATCCCAGCAACGAGGGAAGCCTTGGATCTGTTATTCTCCTACACCTGACATCCTCTGCGACAGTCCACAGCCAGTCACACTTTGACAGGCACATACCATCCTCTGATCCTACACCTGTCAGCCACCTGCCAACACTATTCTAGAATCTGGTAGCAGTGCTTCGTCAGCAAGTTCTGAGCCAGGAGTTTCGCCACCCAAGAACGGTGCAGTAATGATCAGGGAACTATCACTGCACCAGATCACCTACTGCGCCGAAGTACAACAGCAGGGACACATTTGTCAAACTGGTAAGAAAGGATTGTGCAAAGGACGTGAGGAGGAAGACATCTACATCCGTCTTCACCCTCCACTAACACAGTATCCACGGCAAAAACTGAGGACAAACTGCAAAACACAGGAGGGGCAACAAATCCTAGTCCACCCTCCCAGGCACCAAGGCTGTGCCTCGCTGTCAAGGAAGGGCACACTGCCAACAACTGCCTGCCGAGATACCAGTTAATTACTGCTACAAGAAAGAACATAAGGAGGACCATGTTCGGAAGAAAAAAGGAACTTGACAGACAGGGCCACCTGTTTAAGACCTGTTTCTCAAACAAACCAGCAGGATTCTCTGAATTGGTGACCACTCTCACAAACGTACACCCCACTTAGCGTACTCCTTACCCAGCCCAGCAGTGGGGATTGTGCCTTATACAAGACCACAGACCTACATCCCTGCTGCAGCCTCAGTACCCTACTCCTCTCCCCCCAAAGGGCAGCACCTTACATTCCCTACACACCCACTCACCTCAAGCTGACCACTTCATCAGAAGGAGCCAGTCTATCAGCATCCCTGTCGGCCAACATAGAGGTTCATTACTAATGTTTGGAGAGACTCACACATAGTTTTTGGTGAACACCGTCGACGTCCCGACATGATGCTTGTTGTTGAAACATTATTGGATACAGGATCTCCCATAAAAATTTTGCAAGAATTGCTGGCTACACCTCATGATGAGAAGAGACAGGCAAGGGCAAGAGAGGTGTTTCTGTGTGCTTCTCCCCTAATTAAAAGTGTTCATGCACCAGCACATGAGATGGCACCCCTACACATCTTGAAATGATGTTTCCTTCAAGCTCTGTATAAACACTAGTACCTCTGTACTAGCATGTGCAATGTACATACCGTCAGTGGCAACAAGCAGACCCTATCCAACTTCCAAATGGAAAATATTGACCCCTTCTGCTTAAAATAACAAAAAAAAAAACACAACGTCAACATATTTATAATTGGTGGTGCCTCAACCAGCACCTTATACAGAGGGACCTTGATGATCCTTCTTGCAGTGTTTGACATGAGAAACTTTGTTGATTTCCCTACTCATATCTCTGGCTCCTCCCTTGACCCAGTATGAGTGATCTGGCAGAAGGCATATTCACTTGTCAACCCCTCGGCTATGTTGGATCGCTGACCACAAGGGCTGTTTTTACGACACTTAAGATCCCAACCGAACGAGTGAGAGCCACACGCACAACCTGGCTATGGAAAGAGTAATTGGCAGCCCTTTGCTCTAGACACGCCAACCGCCGACTGGAAGCTCTTCTCCAAGGTATGTGACAACCCAAGTGAAAGCCTTCACTGGACACATCCTAATCAACAACAAGAACACATTCCTCACCGGCAATATTGACGAACCTACAGATCAGCCTTGTTTGGCTTTCATTGTAGAGAGGCTGCTACTGCTAGTACAAAGCATGGCGAAGGTATAAGAGACATCCTAACCACCTATAACAGGATCTTGCACAGCAAGCCTGTAGCATATGGGTGATGTCAAAAGTGGCCATTGCTAAATGGGAGGAGTGGACACTAAAAAGAACGTTTAGCATCAAGGTAGGGTAGGCTTTCAAAACCTGGTGGTCCCTGGTCAAGGACAGACAAGTATCTGCCAGATTAACATATACCACCTCTAAAATCGACAGGATGGACCACCTCTACTATTCGACAAAGAAGCGGACCTCTTTGCTGAACACTTTGCTACAAAAATTCAATTCCTGATCCACAAAGGGACCCTCCTTGGCTAGCGAGCAAGAACTGTGTCAAAACTGTCAGTTGTTTTTTTGGGGGTGAACAATACGGCAGGAGGAGGGCATTTCCTACATAAATAATCGCTTGACCAAGAAAAGTGCTGTGGCCCAGACAAGTTTTTTTGAGCCCAAGATAGTTTGAGAAGATGTGCAGAACAGCTAGCAGCACCTCTACCCGCATCTTCAGCACAGCCTAGTACAGTGTAAATGGCCCTCTCTAGGAAAAGAGCAAATGTAGTCCCCTGTTCACAAAAAAGAAGAGCAAGCAGAATCAGCAACACAGAACCAGTGTCACTCCTGTCAATCCACTGTAAAGATCCTTGAGACAATAATCTCAGACAAATGAACAGAGTTGTTTTGACTACCCACTCACTACTTTGTGATCGTCAATATGGCTTCAGGAAAGGTTACTCTGTGCTGATTCTGATTGTTAAACCTCACCATACGTGGCACCAAGCACTGGATGAATCCAAAGTCAGCGTGTGGTCGCACTGGACATTGCTTGGCACATTCGACCGGGTGGGCACCAGGCACTCTTAGCAAAACTTCAAGTACTCGGAATTGCAGGCTCTACGATGTCCTCCTCATTGACTACCGTTCATGGTAATCTCTAAGTGTAGTTCTCAATGGAACGGAATCAGCAAGACCTCCTAATAGGGGCAAGTGTTTCCACAAGGAAGCGTGCGGGTCCATTGTTATGCATGTCTACTTCACACCTTCTTCAACTCATCCCAGAATCACATGCATATGCAGACGACTGTACACTGACATTCACTTATCCCAAGAGAAGAAATCCCAGCTGCTCTAAGCTCATCAATCACCAGCTGAGAGCTATATCAGCTTGGGGAAATAATGGGCAATAAACATTGTGCACTCTGAGAAAATGCAAAAGAAGATCGTCCTCTAGGCACCATGAAAGGTATCCGGAGCAGTAGTAAGATAATGGGGAGAGATGTTTGTCACGCTGATGAGAGAAGGTTATGAGAAGTAGCCGGAGAGTGGAGGTGGGTGTGAAGAGAAGATTACGAGCGCACGACGAAGCGGCGATGGACTAAGGCTGCAGTTTTTGTGGATAGATTATCGTGTCAGAACTCTGGAGAGCATAGTACCAGAACATCGAACAGCGACTCATGTGTGGCGCGCCGAGAATTCTTCGCAAGCCTGGCGTCATCGAGAGGCGAGGGTCTATATTGTCAAGATCCTGTACGAGAGCGACAAGAACTAGACTCATCGAGAAGACACTTGAGTATGCTCCACTTCTTTGTTTGCCTGCCCCCCTCTCATCTGCGACTAGCTGACAGAGGGAGAAAACAGAGCAAGACGTCTCATCTCTCACCTGTACCCATCCTGGATAGATCTCTGTCATTTCAGCAGAGCCTTCACATAGGAGGGATGCGGGTGGCCTACTCTTACTACTGTTATGGGTACAAGGTCAAATATTGTCAAATACCACACTTGGATCCACTTCGATGACAGCGTGAAACAAGCTTTTAATGCCACATGACGGGCAGAAAGCACAACTTCACTCTGGGCTGTACCCTTCTCTCTCCAGAACATCACTCCATCTGAGATTCATACATACCCAGGATGACTAAAGTATGCACATTCCGAACAGCATAATGAGTCAACAGATAAAGTCAGTTGATCAATGAAAATGCTGGCCCACCAGATGGCTCCAACTTCATCCTGTATCCTACTTGTATTCTCATAACAATAAAAAATGCTTTCAAATGAGCGATGTAGGTAACCGCTCTTATCTTGCCAATAAGTTAGGAATCCTTAACCAGTAAATAGCTGACAATAAAGCTAGGATCCTTAACCTTGTCAAAAAACCCTGTGAAAAAAAAAAAAAACAAAAAAAGAGAAAGGAGAGAGAGAGAAAGAAAGAGAGAGAGAGAAAGAGAGAGAGAGAGAGAGAATAGAGAAGAGAGAAGAGAGAGAGAGAGAGAGAGAGAGAGAAGAAAAAGAGAGAGAAAAGAGAGAAAGATAAAGAGAGAGCGAGAAAGAGAGAGAGAAAGAGAGAAAGAGAGAAGAGAAAGAGAGAGAGAGAAAGAGAGAGAGAGCAGAAAGAGAGAGAGAAAGAGAGAAAGAAGAGAGAGAAAAAGAGAGAGAGAGAGAAGAAAGAAAGAGGAAAGAGAGAGAGAAGCGACATAGAGAGAGATAGAGAGAGGAGAAAAGAGAGAGAGAAAAGAGAGAGAGAGAGAAAGAAGAGAGAAGAGAAAGAAGAGAGAGAGAAAAGAGGAGAAAAAGAGAGAGAGAAAGAGAAGAAAGAGAGAGAAAGAGAGAGAGAGAGAGAGAGAAGAGAGAGAGAGAGAGGAGGAAAAAGAAGAGAGAGAGAGAGAGAGCGAGAGAGATAGAGAGAGAGAGAGAGAGAGAGAGAGAGAGGAATAGAAACAACTCTAAAATGTAAGTCAGTAAATGGAATAAACTCATGGAGGAGGCTACAACCTCAGGCAACAATGTTGTAAAATAAGTAATTACCAATGAATATCTAATCATATACACTAACATTTAAAAAAAAAAAAAGGGGGAGGAGGGTGGCTAAACTTAGAACCAAAATTTCAAAGGCAACCCGTTCTATACTCAAAGATGTGTTCCAGGTCCCCCCCCACCTATATTTCTTATCTAAATTCATTCAATTTTAAAAAAAGTACCAAGGAGTCCTCATCTCTTCCCGTTCCTCTCCCATTTACTCTCTAATTCCCATTTTTACTTTCCTCCTACTACATAACCTCCTCTCTTTAATTTTACTGACAACACTTCCATTTTATCTTACACAAGAAATGCATATTGCATAAACCACAAAATTTAAGTAAGAGTAGATTTAAAGTTTTAAAAACAGGTCTGATTACAACTGGTTTATACACAATTTTTTAAAGATTCATGGTTTCCAAACAAATCAAAACTTTTTGTGTTTGAACGAAAACACAACCTCAGGACAAGACTCACTTCTACTTTTATTAGGAGATGGGGCAGTCTGGATCCAAGAGCGACGAAGACATGATGGGACAAAGCCACGCAACTTACTTCAGGACTAGAACTGAAAGCTGCTGTCTGCAAAGAATTATAAAAATAATTTAAAGTAATACACACAGACTTTGCGAAAGCCTTTGATAAGTTCAATCATGTGTATTAGCAAAACAAAAAAATGAGTGATAAATGAATATCAGAAAAATTGGTCCTAACAAACGGAACACGAAGAGTAAAATGGTAAACAGAGTAAAGTCAGAGGCAGCTACAGTGAAAAACTCTGTCTCACAAGTATCAATATTTGCTCCCAACGCTGTTTCCATCCTCATATCTGACACAGACAGAGAGTAAGGCCACAGCACCATGTCTCCTTTGCGGATGACACCCAAATTTGCAATGACTTTGTCATTCACGAAGACACGTAAGTCTCCAAGTGGACATCAACCAAAACTTAAATGGGTCACAGAAAACATGAAGTAAAATGAAGAACAAATTCTATTACTCCGCTAATGAAAAAACTTGAGGAAATTAAAACTGTATCGGAGTAATAAAACAATTCTCCAACCACACAATAGACACACAAGACGATTCTGAAGGACCTGATAGTGATGTCAAGGATCTTCACTTTCAAAGATTACAACAATAAACTACCACATCTGCTAGGAAAATGACAGGATGAATAATGAACACCTCAAACTAGGGTGCCAATCCCAATGATGATTCCCTCTCAAATTGCTTGTTGTCTACTTGGCTGAATCTGCTATACACTAATGGCCCCCTTTCAAGGCATTGAAATTAGCAGGACCGGAGAATATAAGAACTTTCACTGCATGAATAACACAATAAAGCACCTAAATTACTGGAACCGTGAAGTCCCTTGATTTGTACTCCCTGGCATGCAGGTAGAAAGATTATATGATAATAACACTTGGAAACCTAGGTAGTAGGTTGGGTAGAAGCAGCAAACCGCCCAGGGAGGAACTAACCGGTCCCTACCAATTGAGTGTAAAACAACGGCAAAACCTGTAATTGTTTTACATGATGGTAGGATTGCTGGATTTTTCTGTCTCATAAACATGCAAAATTCAGTACGTCCATGCTACTTCTACCTTACACTTAGGCACACCTACACATACATGCACAAGCTAAATATATACATACCCCTATGGGTTTCTTTTATTTTTCATTTAGTTCTTGTTCCTGTTATTTCCCTTACCTCCATGGGGAAGTGGAATGGAATTCTTCCTCTGTAAAGCCATGCGTGTTGTAAGAGGGCGACTACATTACCCAGGGGCAAGGGCTATAACCCCCTTCCTCCTGTATAATTACGAAATTTAAAAAGAGAAGCTTTGTTTTTCTTTTTGGTCACCCCACCATGCCTTGGTGGGATATGGCTGGTTGGTGAGGAAAAAAAAAAAAAAAAAAAAAAAAAAAAAAAACACTTGAAAATCCTAGTGAACTAATACCAAATCAGCAACATGAAAATCACTCTCTACAAAAAGCAAGATTTGCAGAGATACAACATTCCCCAATGAAAAGCACAGTATCAAGAAGTACACAAGAGACAAAACAATGAGTGTCAAGGCCCAAGACTGTTCAACTGCCTCCCAGCATACATAGAGAGGATTACCAATAGACCCCTGGCTGTCTCCAAGAATGCATCTGGACAGGCACTAAAGACAGTACCAATCAAACCGGGCTGTGGTTCGTACATCAGCTTGCATGCGGCCAGCAGTAATAACCTGGTGATCAGAACCCTGGTCCACCATGGAGGCCCCGGTCTATACTGGCAACAGAGGCGTTGACCCCCAAAAACCCTCTCCAGCCAGATAAACCTCCAGTAATTTTAAACCAGATCTGCCATTTTCCACCAAGAAAAAAAATTATTTTTTTTGAACACTGTGCCTAGTTTGTACCTAGATAAGAGTAACTAAAGAAGAAAACTTATCACCCATCCATCAGAGAACAGACATAATTATTTTATTATTGCTATTATTAAAATTAATACTAAGACAATAACATTAAGCAGGCATATATGAGTGTTTAGTGTGATGAGAGACAAGCAATAAGTCCCTTGGGTTTTGACATAACTTTTTGGTGTAACTTATGAATGGAGCTGGAAAGTACAGTATCATGCCTGCACTCTTAAAAGTCGGAGAGAGGGAGGGATGTTGTGGAGCTCAGCAAAGCCATCACAAATTTGTGCCCTTCTGGAAAGGCACCTAAGGGTCAATTAGATGTGGTTTTTTTTCTCTTTGGGTCACCCAAAGGAAATAGTAGTAAACAATATCTTTAACACAAGCTATTTTTATTACTTTTAATATTCTTTTTCTTTGTATTACTATTTTGCTAAAACCAGACTGGAAAAACATAACCTTTACTTTTGGGTAGAGAGCAAACAGCTGTCTCTAACAACATTGGTAATGATCCAGATGAACACCAAGTGAAGTCCAAGATGTGAAAAACTCACGGCACGCCTTAAACCTCCCCCACAGGTCCTCACACCCCCCCACCACCACCACCTCCAAATACAGTGCTTCCATAGTCGACCACATATGCAGAGTAATTCTTCAAGCCAAAGTAATGTACCATTAGCTCATCCATACGGTAAAAATAGATCAGTACTATTTATTGCATCTCCCTGTGAAATGAAGAAGAATCCTTCCTCTGTAAGCCCTGCATGTGGATCAGAGACATCTAAAATATCATGACAAGGAGTTATTAAACCCTTCTCCTGTTAAATTACTAATGTGAGAAGATAAAAGCTTCGTTTCTTCTTCTTTTCATGTCACCCTGTCATGGTGGAAGATCTAATGTTAAAAAAATAAACCTATTGAGCACATCAACTTTACTGCAGTCCAATGTAGATGCACTAGAGATAAAATATTTCAGTCTCAAACCACTATCCATTTTATATCTAACAATGCTTTGTAAAGATTTTCCCATTTAATTAATAAACAGGAAACCAGTAATGTGAGGCTAAGTTGATATAAGTGTTAGAGAAAACTCAGTCAGCCTGCTAAGGAAATAACAAGCGAGAGAGGAATGAGCCATGAAACTTGCCCTAGTATTTACATAAGTATTCAAACATAAGAACTGAAGCCCCCCAGGGTGTCAGTGACTGTGCAGTGCTGAACTCCCGAGTACTTTGTGGAACTAAATGTTGAGGGACAATGGAAAATGAGGGCGTGAGAAGCCAGACTTTCGATAAGGGAGTCTTGCAGGATTGGAATTCCTGATATAGTGCACTATGAAAAAGGCCACGAAGGAAAGCAGTAGTTGCGATGGAGGACAAATATAGAAAGTGTGAAGCAGAGGAAACTCATACCCAAAAGGTGAAGGAATAGCAAAGTAAATGAAGCCTTGGTTTTAACCAGAGATACAGAGGCAGAAAAAAAAAGGATATAAGTGTGAAAAACTAATAGAGAAGTGAGGCACAGAAGAAAAATGAGAAATTAACAGATTAACCAGAAATGACTTTGCAAGGCTGGAGAAAATTTAAGAATTAACATAGCAGCTAGGTCTGAACCAAAAACTGCTTCACAGCCATATCAGAAAAGACCCAGTAAAAGACCAGGTAAATTTAACAGAAGGTGAGGAAAGCTTATGGGAAATGACGAAGGAAGTCTGAGGTGATGAACTGAACAAACGATACAAGAGTGGCCTCTCATGGAAACAGCAATGCCAGAAATCCTAGAACGAGTACACCACAGGTATTGGAACACCATAACACACAACACTGGAAAAGGTGTAAAAAACACTTATGATGGAGCCAGATAGATTCAACTACAGTACTACCCTACAAAGTATGCAGAAGTCAGTAATTTGCCAATTTTACACAAAATTTTAAGAAAAACCAATAAAAGTCAAAAAAACTAAACACTTTTGACATTCCAGGACTAAAACATTAATCTGCTTGATTAATCACATTTCCAGGCCTCTACCTATATTATCACATAAAACATCAAAGATTTACCCCATTTCTACGGATAATAAAAATATAATGAGGAATGATTTGGTCATGGTTATGGCATCCCAATAATTAAATCAGACCCATTCAAAACCCTTAAAAAAGACCAGGGAAGGGTGTAGGGAGGCCTTACCCTTCCTCAGGAAAATTGGCAAAAACTGAAAATTTCCACTACTTTGAGCCCAATTTAAAGTTAGATCCAGTAACTGAAACCTACCCAAAATTCATCTATTTCAATAGAATAACTTCCTATCAACTGATACCAAGAAAAAGGCCAATAAAACTATAAAAACCATCCCAGAAAATATCAACCTAAACTCTAGTCCGAGTTTTTTTTTCCCATCAAACCTTCAGAAAAAGGAACTCTCTATTCAGCCAGAAGATAATTTTTTTTGAATCGCAACACTGTCAGCACTTACAATTTTGGGATCACGACAGTGAAATGGTTAAAAAGAGACATAACAATTTTCCTTTAAATATTCCATCCTGGGAGTGTCTAAACAACTGGTAAGTGTTTCTCTAGAGCCTATTTATAATAATTTTGAAGCAAGCCTAGTCCTCTGCCTTGGGAAAAAAACAACCACTGAAGCAAATGAAAAAAAACTAAATGTTGATTTCCTACAAGAGGAGGGAACAATAAACGAGTCGGAAAACTGTGGGAAATGCATGAGTTACATAGCACGGCGCACACAATAGGAAAGTAGAATTAAATCTACTCCTTAACTGTAGCTCTTCCATGGGTAACCAAAGTCTACCTTTTTTCCTGCTATAAATAAATTAATTTATGGTACGATGAACGAAGTCCTTTAAAACCCTTAACCTCTACTGTTTTTACGTCCCTAATATATATATACGTCTTACTCACCACTGTTCCGACAATTTAATACGCGTAAATTTGTAAGCGGCTTATTTCAAATCATGCAGAGAAAGCTGGTAGGCCTACGTGAGAGAGAATGGTCAGAGTGGTGGTGTCCCCCTGTGAAAAAAATCTGGGACTGAGTGGTGCATTGTGGAAACGCCAACTTGGTATGTCTAGTTTCACCACGCCTCACTTATAAGAAGTACCACACTCCTCGTGGATAGGAGGGTCTTTTGTTCCCAAGTGATAGCTCTAACAGGATGGAAGTGTCAGTAAAGTGAGTTCCATGGTTTTTTAAGCGGTTGTGGACCTAAAAAAGTGCCCAGGATAACGTAAATGAGATGATGAAAACCCAGATGAACCCACGACCTTCCACCTCTGGGCTGGGCCGGCTCCGTTTCATGTTCACCTGTACCCACAGACGAAAGGAGGAAACCTAAATTTGCCCATTGTACATAGGCTCAGATGTGATCATGTGAAAGTGTAGCAATAGTGATTTCAAAGTTATTGAAACAGTTCTGTTGTAACAGTGAGGGTGAATATTCCCAGTGAAGCGGCAGTATAATACGCCGTAGCTTCGGTATGGTAGCGTTCATATGCTGTTCCAAGGGAAAGGATAAATCTCGGAGCACATCCCGTGGCCCTAACATACAACACGACCTTATAGTGATATGACGATATTGTTACGATGGGTATGAATTATGTGAGTGAGCAAGCAGCGGTGGTGTGATAGTGAGGGGCAAGAGTCATGTGGCACCCGGCAACAGGCCACGCTACTACCCAAGCTGCTGACTCTGCACAACCAGCCTCACCCAACTCCACACTCCCACAACCTGCATCAACCCACGTTTCAATATCCAGAACCCACCAGCAGACCCGCATCTGGATTGCCAGGAAGGCAACGAGTTTGTTCCCAGTCCCCATGACTTTGAGACAACACAAAGGGAATACGGTCATCGTGTACACTTGGGAACATGCTACTGAACTACTGAATACTTTCCGTTATTCTTCGATGAACCCCTGATGGACATTATTGTCAGGGAAACCACACACACATGAGTAACACAATGGCAAATACCAATTCTCTACACCAAGAATCACGTCTACACCAGAGGAAGGAACCCACCTGTGGGAGAGATGTACCGGTTTTTTTGCCACAATAAGCTTAGCCACATGTGTATAAGCAAACAGTTCCAACACATCCTGGTCAACAGAACGCCTGATTTCACCCCAGGTTTAGTGACATTATAGGTGTGAACCGTTTCCTTGATACGGTTTTACTTTTTAGCACTTTTCATACAAAACAAAGTCAGACAGAAAGGACAGGTTATATAAGATCAGAAATGGTTTTTATGGCACCTGAAGCAAAAGTGTTTGCATGTATTTTTAATCCCTTCAGAAGCTTGTATGTGACGAGTCCCTTTGATTTTAATCGAGGGAACACTCCATACAAGCAATACATACCCAGCAAGAGGAAACGCTTCGTCATAAAGATATTTGTACTGTGTGATTGCAAAAGTGTCTCATTTTGGATATCGTGTACACTGGAGTAATTCCATGAGAGTACCAGAAGTTATTGGGTATCTCCTGGTGATTGGTTCAAACAATGATGGAACCATATCTTGGTAAGGGGCATATATTATTTACTGAAAACCTGGTGCACACAAGCCCCATACACCAGTGATTTCTTGCGAGTGGAACCTGACAGATGTGTGTGGCAAACAGTGCGTGGTAATCCGTAAACAATGCCAAGGTTTCCGACGTTATGCACTCGCAGAGGTGAGATAGCAAAGCCTTTTCTGCCAATGACATCATGCATTTTGGTGGCATGACAAACGTGATGTCACATTTGACATCATTCACGCGAAACGAAATGGCAACACACTGGCAGGCAGAATAGAGAGACCCAATGAACCCATTCTAAAACTTGCAGCTCATGGACTACAACCGCAATTACCAACACATGCCACTCGTTGAGGCCTGGTGATCACCTACCACCCCAAATTACAACTGCCTCCTACTGCTTTCCAGAAAAGTGCTCAGAAGAGGTGTTTAGTATGTTGGACATACAACAAAATGCCCCACAAACAATGCAGAGACACTCGTTTTATGTGTGGAAGTGTCAATCCACTCTGCATATACCCATGTTTCAAAGAGTTCCACAAGCTGCAACAGTTTCAGGGGGGAAATGTTCAGTGACTGTACATATGTATATACATATTATGGAACAAAAGTAATAAACAATGTTTTGTATTGTTGTTTGAGTAAAAAAAGTTTCTATACACAAACAAATAGTTGATAATGTTTGTTCGGTTATTGTGTTGTAAAAATGAGTGTATATTTGAACAATGCACCTTACCTTTTGTTCTCCAAGGCCACGTAAGTTCCTTAGAAAAGAACAATACTGAAAAAATCAAGAAACCTTCTAATTGAGTAAACAAAAGAATACCGGGGGGCGGCTTCGCCACTGTTGCCATACATCGCCATTTTCTGCCAATTTTGCGCCTCTGTATCTCGGTAAGTACTGATGCAAAAAAATAAATTTTAGGCAAAAACACTCATAAAATAATCCTAAACATTTTGGTAAGAAAAAAATAATTTTTTTTTTGAGTATATTTGTGCGACATAAGAATGACAGTTTTCAGAAAGGAGCCTGAGACAGAAAAGGGTTAAACTGTCCAAAACGTAGATCTACATGATGTGCGTAGTGCTCCGATCAACGATTTAATTTACATGCTTTCAACCATGGCACAATAGGCCTGAGTTGCCTAGACATGAGATAATAGGTCTGTGCACTCAGTATGACAAAATTCGGGGATGCTGGGAAAAATGCGCTTTTCATTAAAAAAAAAAAAATAATAAATCCCCAAAATATTCAGAGCGCTACGCAGCTGGATGTAGCTCTATGTTTGGACAGTTTAAGGGTTAAATCTATTAACTATCTTTGTATGTGAAGTCAATTAAAAATTCCTTATGAATTTCAATACATGTATTAGTCATTTTAATGGAAAAAGACAAATACACACCCACCTTTCAATCCAACAGTGAAGTCATCTAGACCTGACTGTCCAACAGCCCACAATAGAGAAAGACAGGCAGGAGTCTGATTCTGGATACTGTTTCGTAGATCACAATAATAAGGCAAATTCACCATGCCCACATGTGCGTGGTCAATTGATAATATCTGAAAAAATAAATTCAGAGTTCACTCCCACAAAATAATCAGGTTACTAATACAGTACAGTACTCATGTAACCAGCATAAGTTTTTTTTTTTTTATTAACACATCGGCCGATTCCCATCACGGCAGGGTGGCCCAAAAAAGAAAAACTTTCATCATCATTCACTCCATCACTGTCTTGCCAGAGGGATGCTTTACACTACAGTTATAAAACTGCAACATTACACCCCTCTTTCAGAGCGTAGACACTGTACTTCCCATCTCCAGGACTCAAGTCCGGCCTGCCGGTTTCTCTGAATCCCTTCATAAATGTTACTTGGCTTACACTCAAACAGCACGTCAAGTATTAAAAGCCATTTGTCTCCATTCACTCCTATCAAATACGCTCATGCATGCTTGTGGAAGTCCAAGCCCCTCGCACACAAAACCTCCTTTACCCCATCCCTCCAACCCTTCCTAGGCCGACCCCTACTGCGCCTTCCCTCCACTACAGATTTATACACTCTCAAAGTCATTCTGTTTTGTTCCATTCTTTCTACATGTCCGAACCACCTCAAGAGCCCCTCCTCAGCCCTCTGGATAATAGTTTTGGTAATCCCACGCCTTCTCCTAATTTCCAAATTATGAATTCTCTGCATTATATTCACACCACACATTGCCCTAAGACATGACATCTCCACTGCCTCCAGCCTTCTCCTCACTGCAACATTCAACACCCATGCTTCACACCCATACAAGAATGTTGGTACAACTATACTCTCATACATTTCCCTCTTTGCTTCCACGGACAAGTTCTTTGTCCCCACAGACTCCTAAGTGCACCACTCACCCTTTTTCCCTCATCAATTCTGTGATTCACCTCATCCTTCATAGACCATCTGCTGACATGTCCACTCCTAAATATCTGAATACATGCACATCCTCCATACTCTCTCCCTCCAATCTGATATCCAATCTTTCGTCACCTAATCTTACTGTTATCCTCATAACCTTACTCTTTCCTATATTCACTTCTAATTTTCTTCTTTTACATACCCTACCCAATTCATCCACCAACCTCTGCAGCTTCTCTTCAGAATCTTCCAAAAGCACTGTGTCATCAGCAAAAAGCAACTGTGACAACTCCCACTTTGTGTTTGATTCTTTATCTTTTAACTCCATACCTCTTACCAAGACCCTGGCATTCACTTCTCTCACAACCCCATCTATAAATATATTGAACAACCACGGTGACATCACACACCCTTGTCTAAGGCCTTTTTTTTATTATTATTATTATTATCACACTGGCCGATTCCCACCAAGGCAAGGTGGCCCGAAAAAGAAAAACTTTCACCATCATTCACTCCATCACTGTCTTGCCAAAAACTGTAGCGTAAAGCACCCTTCTGGCAAGACAGTGATGGAGTGAATGATGGTGAAAGTTTTTCTTTTTCGGGCCACCCTGCCTTGGTGGGAATCGGCCAGTGTGATAATAGAATAATAATAAAATCCATTTGTTCTCTAGGCTTCCTCAACTTATTAATCTCACTCCAAAACTTTTTCGTATTTTCAACAAAATTTGTTAACATCACACTCACTCTCTCATTTGCTCTTTTTACATTGCTTCACCACTCTCTTAACCTCTCTGTTTCTCTCTATATACTCTTCCCTCCTTGCATCACTTCTACTTTGTAAAAACTTCTCATATGCTAACTTTTCTCCCTTACTACTTTTCTCACATCATTATTCCACCAATCATTCTTCTTCCCTCCCGCAACCCACTTTCCTGTAACCACAAACTTCTGCTGAACACTCTAACACTACATTCTTTAACCTACCCCATACATCTTCGACACCATTGCCTATACTCTCAATAGCCCATCTATCCTCCAATAACTGTTTTTATCTTACCCTAACTGCCTCTTCTTTTAGTTTATACACCTTCACCTCTCTCTTACTTACTGCTTCTATTTTCCCTGTATCCCATCTACCTTTTACTCCCACTGTAGCTACTAGAAAATTATTTGATATATCTGTGGCCCCTCTATAAACATGTACATCCTGAGGTCTACTCAACAGTCTTTTATCTACCAATACATAGTCCAACAAACTACTATCATTACGCCCTACATCATATCTCGTATACTTATTTATCTTCTTTTTCTTAAAATACATATTACTTATAACTAAACCCCTTTCTATACAAAGTTCAATCAAAAGGCTCCCATTATCATTTACACCTGGCACCCCAAACTTACCTACCACACCCTCTCTAAATGTTTCTCCTATTTTGGCATTTAGGTCCCCTACCACAATTACTCTCTCACTTGGTTCAAAGGTTCCTATACATTTGCTTAACATCTCCCAAAATCTCTCTCTCCTCCAGGTGCATACACGCTAATTATGACCCACTTTTCACATCCGACCCTTATTTTAATCCACATAATCCTTGAATTTACACATTTATATTCCCTCTTCTCCTTCCATAACTGGTCCTTCAACATTATTGCTACCCCTTCCTTAGCTCTAACTCTCTCAGCTACTCCTGACTTAATCCCATTTATTTCTCCCCACTGAAACTCGCCTACTCCCTTCAGCTTTGTTTCGCTTAGGGCCAGGACATCCAATTTCTTTTCATTCATAACATCAGCAATCATCTCTTTATCATCTGCACTACATCCATGCACATTCAAGCATCCCAATTTTATAAAGCTTTTCTTCTTCTGATTTTTAGTAAATGTGTACAGGAGAAGGGGTTACTAGCCCATTGCTCCCGGCACTTTAGTCACCTCATTCGACATGCATGGCTTGAGGAAAGATTCTTTATAAACTGCAAAATACCTTATATGCTTTAATTCGTAAAATAAAGGACATCTGATTTTCTTCACTAAAAGTGTTGCTTTATCAATACTGTAGCATCTCAATGAAAATATGCTTTCATCAATTTTTTATAATATGGTAGAATGTGTTTATATTGTGAGAGTATTGTATTGCATTGCATTTCATGAATTGGTAAACTCATGTGGGTCATTTATAGCAGGAAGCAGGAGGCTCGACCCTTCATTCACTGATATCATGTCCTCTTGTAACTTCATATAAGGTAAAGAACTATCCTTGTATATAATACCCATAACTTGACTGTTATAGCCATATTCCCTCTAATTTTCCATTGTGCCTCAGTTTCTGTATGCCATTCATATATTTGTGAGCTTAGTATGTCCTGTTGATATTGTTCTGTTCATGTGCTACAGAGAACAGGTACAGGAGGGTCCTGCTTTTATAGCAGGTTATGTTCCGGGCTACTGCTGTAAAGCAAAAATTGCTATAAAGTGAAACTTTATAGCACTTTCAAATGCATATATAAGCCTCATAACATGTTTACACTATCATACATTAAGTATGCAATAGAGCTAGGCCTAAAAAATGCATATACAGTACACACATTATTTAAAATATTTTCATCCTTAGCTTATTGTGAATGGTGAATATATTGTAAGAAGTCTGAATAAATGAAGAACTCGTAAAACTGAAAACTGCTGCATTAGCAAAATGCTGTAAAGCAAAGCTCTGTAAAGCATGGCCTGCCTGTATAAGGTAATGATTATTCATAAATCTACCTTTAACAAACTGAAACTTACTCCACTAGTGGTAACTCTTGGTTTCTGTCTCTTTGTATGCTTGCAACTATTTCTTTACATTATGATGTATAACAACATACAGTGGAATCTTGGTACTCGAATAGCTCCGTACTCGAACAATTCGGTATTCAAATGCTTTGTTCGGTAAACAAATCACTCAGTGGTCAACCATTTGCTCGGCACTTGACCAAACAAACACGACCTGCCAGAACTTCGCTATAAACTATTTCATGTTTCTTTGCATTTTTTTTTTATATTATTTGTATAAGTAAGTTTTCCATGGGGACTAAGAAGGTTAGTGATAACAGTTAACCAAAAAGAAAATTGGTTTGGAAAAATTTGTTCTGTACTCCAACAGCCTTCTGGAACCAATTAAGTTCATGTGCCAAGGTTCCACTGTACAATGAAGATATTTCATCTCATGCTTATAAACAAACTCAGGGGAGAGTGAATTATTCAATGTGCAGACACCAATAAAAAAAAAAAATCGCCACCTAATCTTTTTATCACCTGGATTTGTCCATTTCGAGGTAGGATGATAGTTTTGAAATCTGAAGAGTTCTTTTTAACTGTGTAGATCAGTGTCTTTTGCAATAAAAATTAAATACCAAACCCACCCACCCATAATAAAAACAAATAAGTATTATCACACACAGTTAAAATAAGCACCATTAGTTAAAACCCATTACATTGTTAACACCAAAAGATTCCTCTAAAAATTCCCTAAAATCCCTACAGGTACCCCAGTATTTATAATAACCATGATGAAAGTAAAAAGGCCTATGCCAAAGGTAAAAAAGTTAATGTGTGTTCCTCAGTCAGCTGCCCACCACAACCTATCAAGAGGAAAGGGAGGAAAGGAGCACCTGCAAACAGGTGGCTATGCATGAAATGTGTGCGCCCAATCATCATTTGACGGAGATTTTTTTTATCAGTGACAATTCCTGTTGAAGGAGGAGGACTTAACCCTGAATAATATTTCAAGAGGCAAAATGAGTCATCAGACTTAGTACATTAAAAGAGCATTTCTTAAAAAAACTATTCTATACTGCACCAATTGCAATAAAAACATTTATATTGCATTTAAAAAATGTTTCTAAGGATCTATAACAGAATGCACAAATAAGGAATACAATAAAGTGGAAAGTATATCAGTTACAAAAATCTTAAGATAACCACAGTAATATTTACCTGAATGAATACCTTGTATCCTGCCACACCCAGACCTTTTACTTGCTCATGTACCATAGAAGTCAAACAGTGCTTATGAAATGCTGCCAACACATTATCATTACAAGTGGACAGTGTTTTTATCAGTAGCTGCAAATCAAATGGAATTTTTTTTAATAAATTTTATCATCTGTTGCAAATGCTATTTCCCAATTTCAAAGCATTAAAAGACTACAGAAAAATATTTATTTTGGGACTATCACCAAACATTCAAATAATCAACACCTGTGCGAGAAGCTCAATATAGTGGACCCTCAACCAGCGATGGCATAGATTAACGATAAATCTGACTAGCGATACATTTTTTAACGCAAAAATTTTGCCTCGACTAGCGCTTAAAAACCTGACCAACGCTATTCTTTCCGTTCAAGACGCGTCCACTTTGGCCTGAGCATGCCCCACTTGTCCCATGGGTGCCAAGCAGGACGTACATTACTCAGGAGGAAAAGGCACTCCCAGGACATAAGCCTATGAAAGACAGGCTTACTCTGTTGATGTGTGCCAATGCTAGTGGTGATTGCAAAGTGAAGCCTTTATTGGTGTATCACTCTGAAACTCCCAGTGTGTTCAGGAAAAACAATGTCGTCAAGGCTAATTTGTGTGTGCTGTGGAGGGCAAACAGTAAGGCATGGGTCACCAAGGAGTTTTTCTATGACTTTTTACACCATGCATTTGCCCCCAATGTGAAAAATTACCTAACTGAAAAGAAATTAGACCTTAAGTGCCTCCTGGTATTAGACAATGCTCTTGGTCATCCTTCAGACTTGGCAGAGCGACTTTCTAGGGACATGAGCTTCATTAAGGTGAAGTTTTTGCCTCCTAATACCACTCCTCTCCTGCAGCCCATGGACCAGCAGGTCATTTCCAACTTCAAGAAACTGTACACAAAAGCTATGTTTGAAAGGTGCTTTGTAGTGACCTCAGAAACTCAACTGACTCTAAGAGAGTTTTGGAAAGATCACTTTTACCATCCTCAATTGTGTAAACATTATAGGTAAGGCTTGGGAGGAAGTGACTAAGAGGACCTGAACTCTGCTTGGAAAAAACTGTGGCCAGAATGTGTAGACAAAAGGGATTTTGAACGATTTGAGGCTAACCCTGAGAATCCTATGCCAGTTGAGGAATCAATTGTGGCATTGGGGAAGTCCTTGGGGTTGGAGGTTAGTGGGGAGGATGTGGAAGAGTTGGTGGTGGAGGACAATGAAGAACTAACCACTGATGAGCTGCTAGATCATCTTGAACAGCAAGAGGGCAGACCTGAGGAAACTGCTTCGGAGGAGGGGATAGAGAAATTGAAGAAGTTGCCTACTTCTAAGATTAAGGAAATGTGTGCAAAGTGGCTTGAAGTGCAAACCTTTATTGATGAAAATCACCCTGACACAGCTACTGCAAGCCGTGTTGGCAACCTGTACACTGACAATGTTGTGAACCACTTTAGGAAAGTCATAAAGGAACGAGAGGTACAGGTATCTATGGACAGACATGTTGTGCAACAGAAGTCCAGTGACTCTGAAGCTGGTCCTAGTGGCATTAAAAGAACAAGGGAACTAACCCCAGAAAAAGACTTGCTACCTCAAGTGCTAATGGAAGGGGATTCCCCTTCTAAACACTAAGAAGATCAATGTTTTCCCCTCCTCCCATCCCATCAATCATCACCAGATCTTCAATAAAGATAAGTGTCATGTAACTGTGCATGTCTTCTTCAGTTTGTGTGTATTAAAATTAATATTTCATGTGGTAAAAATTTTTTTTTCAATACTTTGTGGTGTCTTGCACGGATTAATTTGATTTCCATTATTTCTTATGGGGAAAATTAACTTGACTAACGATTATTTTGATTAACGATGAGCTCTCAGGAACGGATTAATATCGCTGGTTGAGGGTCCACTGTATACTGTATGCCAAAATATGTTTTACTTTAAAGATAGGAGAAAAACAATATGTGCAAAAGTAATAACTAATATTTAACATCAAATAATTTTCAATCCACTGAGCAAAATGCAGTGTACCTCAAAGTTTGAAGCTGGTAATGAACATTAGTTAAACTCTAGGTGAATATACGTAGTTTCTACTTGGGTGACTGTCACAAAAGTAGCCCCACATGCCTATTTAATTAACCACACTAAACCTCAGCTCCCCAAAGTACCATTAAAAGGCATGTGTTAATTAAACCAATATTAAGTGAAAATATAATTTCAGATTCCTAACCTAAATTAGGGATTTTATTAAATGTGTAGTTACAAATATTGTAGTGTACAAACAAAGAAACCTTACCATTTTGACATCTGACCTCAACAGGGATGCTGGAAATGAAGTCGGGTGACCTCTGAAAGCGGGATCTGGTTGGTGGATTGGATTAACACGTACATTTAGGTATGAAGCCAAGTCCTTCAACCAAATAAGGGGAGACTCTTGAAAACGTGACATAACCACATCTAGGAGATTTTGCATCTCTCCTACATTCAACTGTTTAGAAATAAATAGGAAATTATTAAAAATTTTTTGTCTTATAATAATTTATCACTTTTGAATGCTTAAGCTGTTTAGGTAGGTAGGTACTTTCAAGATGTAAGAATGCTCTGGTAATCAATAATAAATACAACACAAGAACTTTCAGGGTAAAACTTGCAAACAATAAAAATTATTAGCATAAATAAAGCATCCAACACAAATGAATACTATCACATCAAGCTAAAACAACTAATAGCAGTAAAAAATCCCATTAAACTGTAATGTCAAAAGTGTTATGGGTGAGGTGTATCCAATCCACAATAAATGGAATTGTCTGAAAGTGACAACTCCTATTAGAGGAAGGTCTTATTCCTAAATCCTGAACCCTGTATAACTTGTTTCTCATCTGCAGGGTCCACAAGGGCAACCACTTTACAAGGACATATCTATTTATCCAATAAGATCACAGTAACAAGTGATATGGAAATAAATGGTATAAAATACAGACACAATGGAAATATAAACACTTAAGCAGTATAATGTGATCCTTTATTGCCAACATTTCACCCATGCAGTGGGCTTTATCAAGTCACAAATAGATCTGTTTGTGACTTGATAAAGCCAACTGTGTGGGCAAAACATTGTCAATAAAGGATCACATTATACTGCTTAAGTGTTTATATTTCCAAAGTGATACCATAATATGCAAAATAACCACTGTGAAAAAAAAATAGTAAACTTCTAAGCACTTTTATTTCTCACATCAAGGTACAGTTCCTTGATAATGTGAGAAATCATGAAAGTTCTTGGAAGTTTACTATTTTTTCACAGTGGTTGTTTTGCATACCTATTTATGTACATGGCCCATGAAGTCACTATAAGGAAGAGGTCTATTGCAGAAGCTCATTACAGCAGCCTCTGCCTCAGGATCAGCCCTTTTATTTCCCAGAACACCAACAGAACATCCTTATGCTGCACGTGGAGATGGAATAACCACTCTTGGATCTTTTGGTCCACAGGGTAGACAGACTGGGCCAGGGCAAACAGAGCATATTGGAAACCTGAGCAGACAGTGATCCAAGCTCCAAGTAAGACAGTTATCAGAATAAGAGCAGCAAGGACTGATTGGACCCTCACAGTGAACATAGAGGATTCATTTGATAGCTGTGCACGAGTTCTCGTGAGCAATCACCACAAAACCAACACCACCCTCACTCCTTGACCCATCAGTAAAGACCTTTATACTTCAAGTACAAGCAAAATCATACTTCAGGAAATTAGCTGGGGCTCGATACTTAGGGATCCCATCCACTGCTGTTTTGCTGAATGTCTGAGGAAAGTGGAAGTGTTTAAGAGCTTTGGGCCTGCCCATATGCAGGCCTACCCATTGAATTTGACTGTTAGTGAGATCAGCTGAGCACTGTAATGACCATGATGACGGACCACAGCTAACTTGGTTGGAAATCGAATTACTGTGCTACAACTAGTGATAATAATTATTCTGTTTGAAGTCATATTTCAGAGGCCTGCCTATGACCTAGGTCCCTGCTTGCTTACATACTCAGCCGTTTGCCTTAATCAATCTACGGTGTAAAGGCAGATAACACTAGCCCAGATGAGTGAGGAATATGCACTTAATTTAGCCCTTGACTGCCTCAAAATTCCTTAGGTCACCATGCTAGCTGGGGTGCCACAAATATCTACAACCCTTTGAGTGGAATTTAGATGACTTCTGCCGAGAGGGAGTGTCTCAACATTTCCTTACGAGGGAAAGCATCAGGTGCTCCAGAGGATCAGCACTCCTTATATTGCTGCATGGACTCTGCTTTTGTCTTCTAACCTATCTTAGGACCTGAAGACAACCCAGACCTTGGAAGTTGAAGCATCCAACATGTTGCCCTGGCTGAAGCAGAGGACCAGCACTCCTGCCTGCTTCTGTACAATCTGGGAACCAACGGGTCCCCAGAGGGGTAGATCAGTTGCAAGCCATCAGCTTAGGGGAAACTTAAGTCAGCTCCACTGATCAGGCACCCCAGAGAAGCTAGTTCTCCTATGCACCTCCATGGGGACCTCTTTGGAAGTCTCCACCAACCTCTAAGCCACCTGGAGATGATAAGTAGCAGGCAGGTAAGGCAGGCGATTACCTGGACAGGTTGGTGGGGGCCACTAGCAAGGTGCCCAGAGGGGAAAGGCTCTGTTCTACTGAGGACCCCTTAGCAGCAGGGATCGTGCAACTAAAAGCAATGGCTGCATAAGATTAGACATGCTGCAGCAGTCATTCCCTCATACTGGCCTCTGGAAAAAATAATTTTCTCAACATACATACATAATGTTAAAAAAAAAAAAAAAAGTGGGCAAAAGTCAACAATAAGAATTTGTATTTTCTTACCCTGCATATTGCCTCCTCAACAGTACCAGGCTGATGTGGACCAGAATTAGTTTTCTTTTCTGTTTTTTTCTTCTTTGGTGCACTAGCAGCTTTGGATGACTTTGGCTTGCGGTTCTCCTTGCCAGTCACCCCTCTCTCAATTCCTCCTACAGAAATATTCAAGGCATTTATGGAAGATATTTACTAATTCATCTAGAAATGTATCATTATGGTGTTATTTTTATTTGTCAAACAATGCTACATACATAGAAGAAAAATGTTAACTTTAACTTACGATATCTGTTCTTTACCTGGGAGCCAGAAGGTATATATACATATACAGTGGACCCCCGACTTATGATATTAATCTGTTCCTGAGAGCACATCGTAAGACGAATTAATTTTCCCATAAGAAATAATGGAAATCAAATTAATCCGTTCAAGACATCCAAAAGTATGAAAAAAACTTTTTTTTTTTACCACATGAAATATACATTTTCTTACACACAAAAAGGTTACATGCACAATATATACTGTGCATGTACTAGTGTACTAAATGAAGAATAAATGACACTTACCTTTATTGAAGATGTGGTGATGAGTGATGAGACACTGTTTGTGTCCTGGGAGTGCCTTTTCCTCCTGAGTAATGTAGGTCCTGTTTGGCATTTTCTTCCAGAACAGGCCTTATCACACTGCGTATGCCACTTTGATTCTTAAATCTCTCAAACCAACCTTTGCTGGCCTTAAATTTACCAATATGAGCACTAGTTCCAGGCATTTTTTCCTGTACACCTGGGTGTTAGTCGACTGGTGTGGGTCGCATTTTGGGGGACAAGATTAAGGACCCCAATGGAAATAAGTTAGACAGTCCTTGATGACACACTGACTTTCTTGGGTTATCCTCAGTGGCTAACCCTCTGGGGTTAATGGTTTCTTAGTATTCTCGATAAGCCACACCAACAACAGTTTCTCCACACTGAGTAGTACAGCTGACCATGGTACAGCAGCAGCAGCTGCTGCCCATGGTACGATAGTATTTCAAAAGTATTTCTTACCCTTTTTACCACAGGGTTGGCACTAGAAGCTTTCTTTGGGCCCATGGTGGCTTATTTAGCACTTACAAGCACTAAAAACACTGGAATACAAAATTTATCGAAAGTATGTGTGCAAACGTCCGCCCTGGCTTGTAAACAGTGTCATACTAGCTCAGCTGAGGTGCTCAGGCCAGATGGACTAGACAGCCACGTTCGGGACAAATGATGTAAGTCGAGTTTTTCAAGTCGGGGGTCCACTGTATATACATAAGCACTGGAAATACCAATGATGTTGGATGTTGATATGAACAGGACCAGACAAAACAATACAGGGTTTAAGAGAATGTACAGAACTTATACTTATCCACTTGGGTAGACCTTACGAGAAGTTTAACTGGCATACAAATGAAAAATGGCTCAGATTAATAACTGTAGTGACAATTATAAAAGGTACCTTAAAGCTTGGGAAGCAGGTGTAAAAATATTAGAGAAAACTATTAATCTTGTCCTACAAAAATCTACTAACACCCAGATACCTACTTACTGCTAGGTGAATAGGGACAGCAGATGTAAAGAAACATGCCCAATGTTTCCACCTGTGCCAGGAGCTGAACCACAGAATCAGTGTGCGAGGCGGGTACGTTGCCAACTGAGGTAATTTACACGTTACTGAAGAAGACAATTGTAACAGTCCCAAAAAGTGTGTCAACTGTATCAACCATAGCTCAGTTGGTAGCGCACTCAGCTCACTGAGGTCCATGGTTCAATCCCCGGTATGGGGGAAAACACTGTTTCCTTACAACACCTACTGTCCCTATTCACCTAGGAGTAATATAGATGCCCAAGAGTTAGCCAACTGATGTGGGTCGCATCTTGGGGACAAAATTAACTTAATTTGCCCGATTATTATTATTATAATAATCAAGGGAGAAGCGCTAAACCCGGTGGATTATACAGCGCCTGGGGGGGGATGTGGAAGGCATTCAGGCTTAATTCGGGGAACTGGAGCACAGATTCAATTCCCTAAATCAAGAGCCCCTCACCAACATCAAGGAACCTTCCTTGAGGGGTTAATTTGCCCGAAATGTTCTGCATAACAAGAGACTTTATATGCAGTGTCGTATGTATATGTATGTATATTTTATGTATATGTATGTATAATGTATATGTATACTGTATGTATAATGTATGTGAATGCATATGTATGCATATTTATATTTGTGTATGTATATATATTTATATATGTGTATGTATGTATGCATATTTATATTTATGTATGTATATGTATATATACATATTAAATAAGCAACGCTTGGTGGGATTTAATTTTTATACTGGTCTAAATAGCTATAATGTTTAGACGATGTAATTACGGTACATTAATCCTAGTAGCATATTGACTCAATTAAGTATAACATCTTTAATAATCATTAAAAAAAAAGGCCACATATAATTAAATACAAAGACCTACGAAAATTGAATTATCCTCAAAACATATTACACATTAATACGAGGTAAGTACTACAGTATTATGTACCTGTCACTGTAACTCGGGGAGCTTTCTGTATGAACTCTTTCTTTTCGTCCTTACTAAGTTTTCCATTAGGAACTGTCGCACTTTTGCCCTTTTTTGAGCTTTTGACAACCAGCTCCCACTCTCCGGCAGCTGCCATGTTGGACGACCTGTCGCACTACTCAGATACATGCTTAATTTATATTTAACCCTTATTTACCTTTATAAATCTCATTTCTGTATATTAATTATCAAGTAAATAAAGTCCTAAGTTATCCGACAGTTTTCTTTATGTGAATAATTATGATATAGTTGCTGAGATTAAAATTCACAGTAAATTGAATATTAAAATTCTTGTTCTTTTAAAAAAAAGGAGGTTTATTTAAGCTCATTAATTATTATTAAGTCCATGGCAGGAAGCTCTAAATATGTATGGGGTATGGGGCAATCAGGTATATAATCAAAGAAAAGGGAGATCAAGTCTAGTTTTTTGAATAAAGAGCCCTCACCGGCGTATATGAACCTTTAAAGGGTCCAGTCAACAATTAAACCAAATAATTCCAATATACCTATATGGCAGTTTACAGTCAAATATTTAAAAAAAATCAAACAAAGTTTAGATACGTACTGCAATAATTTTTCCCAGCCAATGTGTAGTGATGTGGCTCAACTTTATTATTAATGGATTTTTAATTGATTTTTAATTGAATCACAGAATGCCTCCAATATAGTATAAACTAAGTATTCCTATTCCCATGTACTATGTGTCTCATTATCGATTATTATTATTATTATTTATAATCAAGGGGAAGCGCTAAACCCGGAGGATTATACAGCGCCTGGGGGGGGTATGGAAGGCATTCAGACTTAATTCGGGGATTATTATTATAATCACAAAAGAAGCGCTAAGCCACAAGGGCTTAATTCGGGGAACTGAAGCACAGATCAAATTCCCTAAATCAAGAGCCCTCACCAACATCAAGGAACCTTCCTTGAGGGGTCTCATTGTCGAGAATCAAAATTTAATGGGGTGCATATTATAATTATAATCATGGGGAGCGCAAAACAATGGGGTCCCATAATAAACATATTAAACTAAAAACTTGTATAACCGGGCTTTCAAATTATTATAGTCAAAAAGAAGCGCTAAATCACAAGAGCATCAGCTTTCCTAAAAAAGTTTACGCATTGTAAAATTACCATAATTGAAACTTATAGTACTCCACTTTATAGAGATAAAATAATTAAGCGCTAAACCCAAAAGGGGTCTTTACAGTGCTCCTGTTTTCAGAAAAAAAAAGGTGTATGCATACGCAAAACTAAAAAATATTTTAATCTAGCGGAAGCGCTAAACCCCTAGGATTATACAGTGCCCGTGGGGGGGTGGAAGGTGTTCAGGCTTAATTCGGGAACTGGGGCACAGATCCAATTCCCTACATCAAGAGCCCCTCACCAGCGTCAAGGAGCCTCCCTTGTGGGAAATACTATTATAATACGCTGGAATACACGTCACTGACATTTTTGGAAGTTATCCTAGGTAATTTACACATTACTTGTATAATTTGTGTAACTGTGTACCGCAAAACTCGTAGAGTTATACAGCGCCTGCATTGGGTGGGGGGAAGGAAAGGAAGGCATTCACTTAATTCAGATTATTATTATAATCAAAAAGAACGCTAAAGCCACAAGGACTATACAGCAACTTAATTCAGAGAATTGGAGCAGATCCCAAATTCCCTAGATCAAGAGCCCCTAGGAACCTCCTTACCTGGAGTTACCTGGAGGGGGTTTCAGGGGTCAACGCCCCCATGGCTTTGGGCCGAGACCCGGCCTCACGGTGAATCGAGGGGGGCACATGATTAATGTTTCATCCTCCCAGGTGGGAAGTCTGATCCAAGGTACTGCATTTTCCCCCATTATTTTATACACAAGTGTGAAGCACTAAACCTGTAGGGTTACATAGTTTCCTAAAGCTGTGCTTTTCTTAGATTAAACTAATTACCTCCCATTCGTCAGCATTGTTTGATCCATATTGGCTATGCACTTAACTATGAATAAATTTTATTACTATGATGCATTACCATCGTTACTTTCATGGAGTGCTATACCTGTAGGGATCACAGCACCTGGGAAATTGGAGGTGATCAGGTTTAGTCCAAGAAAAGGAAAAGGGCAGGTCCAATTCTTTTTCCTCAGGAGCCTATCTTTGTATCAAGGGACATCTTGGTCTGGGGGTAACTTGAAGCACACTTCAAGTGAAATATCTTTTTCCTTCAAGTCCTTCCATCAAAGATGTTTCCAGTATTTGTTCTTATCACTTCTGTAATTGAGGAAATTTAGAGCACTGTTGTGTGAAGAGGTGAAGAAGAGAATACATTACCTTTTATTTATGGAAGGTGCTACACCCATAAGGATAATACAGCACCTAGGGGTTGGCAGGGGGGAGAGGTAACAATATCTGATGCAAGGAAAAGTTGAGTAGCTCCACTTCCTTGAATCAACTCTTTCACTTGCATCCCTTTTCCCCTTGAAGGGAGAAGGTAGAGTAGTGAGTAGCATAAATGGTGACTTTCAAGGATATTGTTTAGTGAAGGGTCAGTTAAAAGGGTGAATAAAAAAAAAAAATGCCAGGTATATAACATTGACCACCCCTTCTGATCTAAGGAAGTTTCTATTCAGCTCCAGAAGTTTATAGGAGAGGTAAAGGGGGGGGCAGTCTGACAAATAAAACGTAAACCTAAACCCCCGGCCGGGATTGAACCCCGGTCAAAAGAGTCTCAAAACTCCAGCCCGTCACGTTAGCCACTAGACCAGCTAGCCCCAATAAGATTCATCCCAATAGGTATATTTCTACACCATAGGAAGGTTAGCACAGGCACCACTGTGACCACAAATGCAAGTTTTTACAGACGAATCTCCAGCTAGCGTGGCCGTGTACGAACTCTAGCTCAAGTCCCTTCACTGCCGTCAACATGACTCAAGAAATCGTAATGACACGATTGCAAACAAACCATACCCCCGGCCGGGGGGATTGAACCCGCGGTCATATTTCTTGAGTCATGTTGACGGCAGTGAAGGGACTTGAGCTAGAGTTCGTCACGGCCACGCTAGCTGGAGATTCGTCTGTAAAAACTTGCATTTGTGGTCACAGTGGTGCCTGTGCTAACCTTCCTATGGTGTAGAAATATACCTAGTTGGATGAATCTTATTGTGGCTAGCTGGTCTAGTGGCTAACGCGACGGGCTGGAGTTTTGAGACTCTATGACCGCGGGTTCAATCCCGGCCGGGGGTATGGTTTGTTTGCAATCGTGTCATTACGATTTCTTGAGTCAAATAAAACGTATATATACGTTTGGGGCACTAGCGGTAAAAATGTATATACTATACGTTTGGACCGTTTACGGGTTAAAGAAATGTCTACCAGTAGGATGTAGCTCCATAGGCACATCTAACTTCTAGGTGAGGAGAGACAGGCAAATACGTAAGTGGAGCAGCTCATAGCATCTATAAAGACTGCTGCTTCTACCAAGATTATTATTATAATCAAAAAGAAGCGCTAAGCCACAAGGACTATACAGCGCTGCAGGGCAGGAAGGAAGTGAGGGCATCAGGTGGCAAAAGGGAGATGGATGAGCAACAGGTTACGGATAACAGCGGGGCAGTGGATGGTGAAAGGGTAAAGGGCAGCAAGAGACTGAACCAGAAAGGGCTGAGGGGAGTGCGAAAAGTATCATCAGAGTTTGTGGAGTAAATCGGTCGTTGTCAAGAAGTCAATGAGAGAGTCAGGATTAAAGGAGGGTCCATCAGCAAGAGGGAAGATAAAGAGAGAGTAGTAGAACGAAGACGACGTTGGAGGTAAATTCTGCGTGCTCGTTGATAGAGAGAGGGCAGTCTAACAGAATGTGGCTATCGATACTGGAACTTGACACTGCTCACAGAGAGGAACAGGGTTGCCTCTCCATGAGATACCCATGAGTAAGACGAGTGTGGCCAATGCGAAGGCGGGGAAGAGAGTGGTCTCCCAACTTCGGCACTGATGACAAGAAGACGGCCAGTAACCTATGCTCGGTTTAATAGAATGAAGTTTGTTACCGAGCAGAGTTGACCAACGTTGTTGCCAACGGGTGCGAAGGTGGGTAGCTATTGCAGCAAAATAGTCCAGAAATGGAACACCTCGATAGGAAATTGGTAGGTCATATTACTGCTGACGCGCGCAGCAGTGTCTGCCTGTTCATTGCCCTGTACGTCGACATGACCAGGGACCCAACAAAAAACAATATCTTATGTTTGGTAGAGATACGGCGTAGCCCAAAGTTGGATACGGAGAACTAGGGGATGAGATGTATCAAATTTTCGTATAGCCTGTAGAGCACTAAGGAGTCTGAGACTACTACAAATGATGACACAGGCATAGATGCAATACGAATAAGTGCTGCAAGAATGGCATACAGTTCAGCAGTAAAAATGCTAGCTGAAGATAGTAAATGCCCTCGTACGACGCTGTCCGGAAACACTGCTGCGAATCCGACGCCGTCTGAAGATTAGAGCCATCTGTGTACACAGCGGTGGCATGAGAATGGGAGTGGAAGTGATCAAGAAAAAGAGAGCGGGAAGCCACCGTAGGCAGTTGAGCTTTCGAGCAAGGGAGTGAGAAAGAACAGACCCGAACAGCTGGAACTTCCCAGGGGGGCAGGGAAAAAGTGAGATGCTACATGAACATATAAAGGTGGTAACTGAAGGGAAGACAAGAGTGAATGTAGGCGAAGAGAAAAGGGACGGAGCAAAACAGGGGCGGCGAACGAATAAAGAATGTCTACTAATATCGGTGACCATTCTATAAATGGAAGGATTGTGTAGATCGTGAGAGCGTACATAGTAACGAAGGCAATGGGCATCACGGCGATCAGACAAGGATGGAACATTTGCTTCTGTATAGAGGCTCTCAACAGGGGAAGAGCGGAAAAAGCACCAAGGCACAAACGTAAGCCTTGGTGATGGATAGAGTTAAGGCTTAGAGAGAGTAGCAGGAGAGGCCGCGGAATAAATCTGGTCACCATAATCGAAGTTTCGATTAAAACGAGGGCTGAATGTAGGCGAAGCAGAGTTCGACGATCAGCTCCCCAGGAAAGATGAGCAAGGGTTTTAAGAAGGTTTAGCCGGGCTGTGGACAA